GGGGTCTGAACCCTTGACCTTGGTGTCATCAGCGCCATGTTCTAACCAAGTGAGCTAATCAATCAGTGCCTTTAAATTCAAATTTAACTGAGTATCTTATTTAGTTTTGTTTCGTTTTTGTTGAGCCTGACTACACTAACTGAGAAGCCAATGAAAGGTTTTCAAATGGTAAGTGATGTGATCCAATTTGTATTTTAAGATCACTTTGGCTGATTCATGGAGAACGGTTTGGAAGGCAGCAACAGTAAAACGAAGTCAGAAGTTCAGGGAGACTAGTTAGGCTGTCATAGCAGCCCAGAGCCCCACTTTAGACCAGCACTTCTCAAACCTTAATGTGCATGCGAATCACCTGGGGATCCTGTTAAATGAGGACATTGGTTCAGTAGATCTAGGCTGGGCTCTGAGATTCTGCTTTTCTAATAAGCTACATGGTTCCTAGACCAAAGGTTGGCAAACTATGGCCCAGGAGCCAAATTTGGCCCGCTGCCTGTTTTTGTAAATAAAGTTTTATTGGAACACAGCCATATCCACTTGTTTCCATATTATCTATGGCTGGTTTCATGCTATAAAGGCAGAGTTGAGTAATTGCAGTAGAGACTGTGTGGCTTGCAAAGTCTGAAATATTTACTAGCCAGCCCTTTAAAGAAAAAGTTTGCTGACCTCTGACCTAGACCACACTTTGAGTAGTAAGAGTCAAGACTTGGTGATAACCAGGAAGATGGAGAAAAGTGGACAGATTGAAGATATATTTAAAAGCATATGGTGTGGCCTGCACTGGTTCATCTAGCATTCCCTTCTTTTTATTTTTTTTAAAGATGACCGGTAAGGGGCTCTTAACCCGTGACTTGGTGTTGTCAGCACCACACTCTCCCAAGTGAGCTAACTGGCCATCCCTATATAGGGATCCGAACCCTTGGCCTTGGTGTTGTCAGCACTGCACTCTCCCGAGTGAGCCACGGGCCGGCCCTTAGCATTCCCTTCTGATGGAAGCCCAGGCACCCTGAACTGCAGAGTCTTTACACTTAAGTTGGTGCGACAGTTAAGAACCTGGCCAATTGGTGTTGACTTGCCTTAGAACTATTTACCCAGTGCGTTCTAAGCCCAAGGGGTTCTACTTGGCACACGTTTAAATTTATATGGAAATGAATCTATGTACACACAGAGAGTGTAAAATACCACTACATAGCACCCGGTAACCTAGAAGAAATTATTTGTCAGGCTAGCAAACAGTTAAAGAGGACTCCTGCTTGTGCTTACTGCTGTCTGGTTTTCTGCCTCTCCTACCTGGACTTCCATGATCTCTATTTTTTCATGGGGAGTTTTGCAGTAGTTTAAAGGAGGAGATACTGAGTCACAGAGCTATTGCCCCTTCTGCTTACCCCATCCCTACCCTTTCCTTAAGCACCTGTCTAGCTCTTAAAGAAAGAATATCCAGTGCTCACCTAAGAGGGAAATCACTTTAACATGAAATAGAAGATGATTTTATTAGGAAGGACCACAATTCTATGTGCAATTTTTTCCTTGGCATTCATTTGGGAATCTTAAAGTTGTCACTTTGACAGACCCTATAGCAAAAGCAGAAGGTAAGATATTTCTCTTGTGTAATAAACCTAGAAGGCAATATCACACAACAAAGTGCTAAAATAACTTCTTATTTAAAAATCACTCCTGGGTTGTTAAAAAGTTATGAATTTCTGGAATTTGCTTTGAGTATTTTAGCTTTCTAAGATGTTATGCACTGATGTAATAACATCCAATGGTGGGCTAGTGATATCGACAAGTTGATGCCAATTCCTATGGAACATAATTTACTACTGATAACAATTTAACACTTGGATCCTACTATGCTGTCTTCAGAGTAGAGGAAAGTACGCTGTTTCGTAGTCAGAGCCCTGTGGCTCTGTGGCATTCCTAATGTTATTATACATATTTTTATTAAATGTGGCTACTATTCCTTTTCCCCATCTGTGCATTGCATAACAATAACAGCCACAAGTATGAGAGATCAAGCTTGTGTAATAGACTGATCCATTTTACTTAGAAAGCGGAAGCTATTCAGGGATAATTAATACAAGATAGGCCAGTACAGCTGAACAAAAACAAATTGTGTTGTTTCCATTCACAGCAAACTTGCATTTCGGGTCTCATTCCACAAAGATCATCTGCTTTACGACATAACTCTTCCTTCCAATTTATGTACATATATCCAAACAATCTTTTCACTTTATTAATCATTGGCAGATTCGGAACTCCAAGTTAAAATTGGAAGAGTCTTCCCCATAATCTAATAGGTTACATTCTTTTTAACAGGAAGAAAAAAAGAAAAGACAAAGTGTTGAAAAATGTGTTCTCAAGAAGCACATTTCTTTCCTCCCCAGATTTTGTACATTTCAACAAACCTGTTTAAATATTTTACTGAAGTGCCTAGGTGCTGAGGCATAGATGAGAGATAAAAAGCAGACGAATAAAGGAAAAAGCTTCCTTTTCAGAAGGTGACTGAAAGGCTGTTTAGAATAGGAACAGAATAAGGAGAGCCAAGGGGTTTGGTTGTCTGAAATAAGATTGGAAGGAAGCTTGGAAGAAAGATATGGTCTGCATGATGTCCTGGGAGCATTCTAAAAGGAGTGTTTTTAAAAGAAGTCATTAATAGGAGTCACACATCCATTTGCATGAATTAGCAAACCTGGGAGAGTGTCTGAAATGTATTGCGAGTGCTGACCTGAAATGAAGGTCACTGACATCCCCAGACATCAAGGCCTACTGAGCACAGTTACATTAACAAACCTTTCCAGCCAGGGTTGAAAGATCATCGCCTCCAATTATCTGCATCTCACCCACAGATTGGTCATTCTACAAAAAAGGAGGAAAAAAAGGAAGACGATGTTTTACTGCACAAGAAAACCTTTAAAGAACATTTTCTCATCTACCCAGTTAGTGGCTAGATTGCACCTTACAAATATAGCACAAATACCTAGTACAGATTCATGGTTGCCTATGGTTACCAAGAGCCATTCTCCTGCTACCCAGCTTGAGACAAAGCCTTCTAATAGCTGGCAGGGAGAGACTGAGTGTGGAGGGGGAAGGAAGGGTGGAGAGGACAGACAAACCTAATTTTTTCTTTTTTGTTTTTTGGCGGCTGGCTAGTAGGGAGATCCGAATCCTTGACCTTGGTGTTTGACAAACCAAATTTTGAAGCAAAATGCTACAGAAAGTGCCTGAACCTATCCTGAGGCAGAGAGAATTAGAGAAGACAGTCATACTCCTGGACTTGGCTGGGGTGGAGGGGGCGATGGGAGCCCTAGGACTGGACCAAGCATTTGTCAGCTCTGCCAACAAGCCCTAGTTACAGGCCTGCAGAGCAGAACAATCAGGTTCTGGTTCCCGGACAGTCTGCTGCATTCTCTCCTGGCTACCACTGGAGAGGCCACCCCTCACCTCATGTTCAGGCACTTCTAACAGGCCATGGGTCAAGAAGCATTCTATTCCACTTAGACTTTCTGACATGAAATTCTCTCCTGGCTACCACTGGAGAGGCCACCCCTCACCTCATGTTCTGGCACTTCTAACAGGCCATGGGTCAAGAAGCATTCTATTCCACTTAGACTTTCTGACATGAATGACGAAGCCTAAGGAAGTTTCTGCAGTTCCAGCAGTATGAGATCCAGAACCACATTTAGGAGACTTTTTGGCTGTATTATTTCTTTTCTGCTGCTTATAACAGAATACCTGGAACTGGGTATTTTTTTTTCTTTTTTATTGGTTATGAATATTCAAGGAGTATAAAGCTGACCATCACCACCTGTGCCCAAGGGCCAGATCAATACTGGCAGCATGCCCATTACCGTGAATTGTGATTATTCCCAGTGTCCCCCACCCAATGAATCCCCGACCTCCCTCCCCTTCCCTATTTCCTCCACGCCACTCTGCAACCCTAGGTATGTTTTCTCCCTCTGTAAGTCCAACGCACCACTGTGATCTTTGAATTGGGTATTTTAAGAAAACAAAATTTATTGCTTAGTGTTTGGAGGTTGGGAAGTTCAAAGTCCAAGGAANCTTCTCTCCTGGCTACCACTGGAGAGGCCACCCCTCACCTCATGTTCAGGCACTTCTAACAGGCCATGGGTCAAGAAGCATTCTATTCCACTTAGACTTTCTGACATGAATGACGAAGCCTAAGGAAGTTTCTGCAGTTCCAGCAGTATGAGATCCAGAACCACATTTAGGAGACTTTTTGGCTGTATTATTTCTTTTCTGCTGCTTATAACAGAATACCTGGAACTGGGTATTTTTTTTTCTTTTTTATTGGTTATGAATATTCAAGGAGTATAAAGCTGACCATCACCACCTGTGCCCAAGGGCCAGATCAATACTGGCAGCATGCCCATTACTGTGAATTGTGATTATTCCCAGTGTCCCCCACCCAATGAATCCCCGACCTCCCTCCCCTTCCCTATTTCCTCCACGCCACTCTGCAACCCTAGGTATGTTTTCTCCCTCTGTAAGTCCAACGCACCACTGTGATCTTTGAATTGGGTATTTTAAGAAAACAAAATTTATTGCTTACTGTTTGGAGGTTGGGAAGTTCAAAGTCCAAGGAACACATCTGGTGAAGGCCTTGGTGGTGGTGAGGTGGTGACAGTGACTCAGCGGTCTCACATGGCAGAATAGTAGAGCAGAGAGAGAGCTCCCCATGAGCTCTCCCTTTAAAGCCCTCAGAACCATGCCCACAACCACCATTAAACCATCAACCTATTACTCCATTTACTAGGGCATGGTCCTCACAATCTAATCACCTCTTCAAGGCCCACCTTTCAACTATCATAATAGGATTTCTCACCCTAGTTACAGTGGGGATTAAGCCTCCAACACATTAAACTTTGAGGGGACACAATTCAGTCCATAATAGAAGCCCACCCTCTTTCTCGGGGGAGTCCATTCCATATGGTCCAGGCAGGGCCAGGCCTTACCATTTCAGGCCGACCAGCTATGCTGAAGCTGTAGCCAGACTTAGACTTTCCTGCTACTCAAGCCAATTCCCTTAGGAATTTTCTTGGGCCAGTTTGAATTAGATTCTGTCACTTGCTACTGAGAGTCTCTATCCAGATGTATAATTACTTTGACATGAGATTGGTCATCTGGGAAGGAAAGCAAGAAACAAACCACAAATATGACAGTTTTACCAACAAAGCACCTTTTGCCTTTTTATCTTCCTGCTCAAAAAGAAAAAAAAAAAAAAAAGACCTTAAAATGTTTTCATTAAGCCGCTATTACCCAGCATAGTGGGGTTGGCAGGGCCACTCCTCAGCCAGGAGATCCCAATCCCATCAAAATTCCTAAGGCAGGAAAGTGGAAGTAGGCATTTTAGGAACATGGTTGATATGGTTTGAATGTTTGTCCCCTCCAAAGCTCAAAATGAAGCTTTGTCCCCAGTGTGGTATTTGAATGGTGGGGCATTTAAAAGGTAATTGGACCATGAGGACTATGCCCTTATGAATGAATTAATCCATTTGAGGATTAAAGGGTGGCTTCATAAGGAGAAGAAGATAGCATGTTAGGACACTCTTGCCCCCTCACCATGTGATGCTCTGCACCACCTCACGACTCTGTGAAGAGTCTCCACCAAGAAGAAAGCCCTCACCAGATGTGCTCCCTTGACCTTGGACTTCCCAGCCTCCAAAACCATAAGAAATAAATTTCATTTTCTTATAAATTAAAAAAAAAAGTTTTTACTTCTGTTGGAATGAGCAGCACTGAAGCCATGTTGGGACCTAAAGCTGCATGGGCTTTACGGAAAAAAAAAAAGATACGGTTTTTTTCTTAGCATGCATTTCTCCGAGTTCCCTCTTTTGCGATGGTTATTTGATATTTTGAACCTTGGTTATGGGGCAAGATACATTATTCATATAAATGTAAAGTTGTTTTCCAGTCAGTCTGGAGTTGCAAACTTGCCAAAAGACACGTACTGTCCAGACCCTAAGGAACCAAGGAAGACATCAATAAAGCTATGCTGATTCCACCCTGAAGCAAGACCCTGAGATAACATCAAGGATGAAAACAGAAGCCAGAAGGAGCCTTGGTGAGAATTTGCACCTGGCCCTTACACGTCCCACTCCCTCCTGCTTTTCATTTCCTACGTTCCATTCCCTCAACCCCTCCCCGCCTTTTAAAAACCTGTCTGCAAATCTGAGACTTTGAGATGGTTTTAGTCTGGCCACTCTCCTTCGGGTTTACCAGGGAGATGGGTCAGCCTAGCCTAGTATCTCTCCTCAAGTCACGGATATTCCTGAATAAAAGCTGACTTCCTATTCCACCAACATTTGACTTTTGGGTCCTTTGTTTTTGTGGGGGACACGCAGCTAGACTTGGGTTCAGTAACAAGATTTTGATGAGCCTAAGCCAGGAGTTGAATGCCAGCCTCGGCCAGGAGCTGCATGCCCTGCGTTCTGTCACAGATTTTGGTGAGCCAAGCCAGGGTTTTTGTACCAGGCAGGCAGCTGGGCTTGGGTTTGGTAACACTTCCACTTGGTAAAGCATTCACTTCTTTCATTTCTTTTTTTTTTTTTGTCCACTGGCCAATACGGGGGTCCAAACCCTTGACCTTGGGTTATCTGCACCACACTGTAACTAAGTGAACTAACTGCAGAGGACTGGAGGGAACACAGGGAAGCAAAGCCAGAGGCTAACACTGCTTCCCACAGCAGCTC